ACAAAAAAGCCAAACCCAAACCCCCCAACCTAGCAACAAAAATGAAGGAAGCTCTCCGAACGCAGAGCGCGTCCCTGGCCCTCCGGGCCGCCCCCCCCCAGCCCTCACCGCAGCCACACGGGTCGGGCCGCTCGGCTGGCACCCCGCAGCCTCCGCGTGGAAACCCACTTCTCGGTAGTTTTCCTAAAATACCTTCCCTCCCCGTTTCTGGCACCGCACTGAACTGGCCCTCCGTGGAAAAAAAAATAATATCGGCAACGAGGTCGGGTGTGAATTGCAGATCTACCCACCCCTGTTTTCTTTATCCTTGAACAGTGGCTCTCCGGGCTTTCCTCCGCTGCTGCCCGGTTTTCTCGTTTGTGATTATATCGAGACCGAGGACAGTGTTATCAATACGAGCTGTTATATACGGTGACTTTTTTTTTTTTTTTTTTTTTTTTTTTCGGGGGGTATGTTATATATATATATTTTTTTTTATTATATCGAGACCGAGGACAGTGTTATCAATACGAGCTGTTATATACGGTGACTTTTTTTTCTTTTTTTTTTTTTTTTGACGGGGGGTAGTTATATATAGAGACTTATTTTTAAAGATGTCGTAGTGTGAGTTCCTACTCCCTTTCCGCCAGGAACCGACACAGAGGCAATAAAAATCGCTTTTCGCTGACTCCTACCACGGTTCCTGCCTCCATCCCGGCTGGCTGCAGCTGGGTTTCGGACCCACCGACTACAAGCAATGCCCGAGGTAGGTACAAGATTTCTGCAGGGCAGAGCTTCGTCCTTTACAGCTGCGTTTTGCGGTTCTATGTGGGGATGCACAGCGCTCGTTTTCGTGTAAAAGAACTAAGTTCGAAAAACTATTCCGAACACGACATCCGTATTAAAGCACAGAACATTTTAAAACTACACTGTTGCCTGAATTACGGTACATGTTATCAGCATTTGTACTCGGAAGTAACTTTTTTGAAACGTATTCAAAAGGTATCAGAAAGTGTCCTCGCGCGTGATATTAAGGCTACTTATAATAAGATGTAGGGGGAAAGTCAACCAAAAACGGATGTTACTTAAACCTCGGCACTTCCTTTTCCCTTTCCATTCAGAGGCTTAATTAAATTAAGCCCAGTGTCTCGGCAGTACGCCCCTCTCTACCTGCCCGCCTGCCGCCGACCTGCCTGCCCGGCCGGCGCTGCCC